GATAAAGTTTCTCCCTTCCCTCCTCTCTATTACTTTTTGGTTTTCCCTGTTATATAATGTACTCTTGAACTGCCATTTAAAAACAAAGTCTTAAAAAACAAGTTGTTCTAGACAACGTAAACAAAATCCTCCAAAACCAAAAGTCAGCTCATTTTTCAATATGCAGCCCTGAGGTATAAAACAAACCAAACAGCAAGGACACAAACACGACAGCTCTAGGAAAGCAGATAGATATCTTGGGCTAGGCTGATCTGGTAAAGAAAACAAAGCAGAAAGAACTGTGGGAGCAGCCTGACAGCTTTTTTTAATGGAAAGTGGCAATAGGAAGATGAGTTTGTTGCAAGTGAATGCCATATAGGGTCTAATATCAATGGTTAAGTAAGTATTCATGATAATGGAAAACCATGGCATTTTAGGAGGGTTTGTCTCAACAACTTATCCTATTACTATACTTCAGCTGCTGCTGATAGAGTGATCCATGGAAATCTGTGGAGATGCACAGACTCAGAGGAGCATTCCTAGACCAAGAGACCAAGCTCTCCACTTCCCTACAAATATTCCAGACAGTCTTAATCACTTAGCATTTCATACTTGTCGTGTTAATGTGGTATATTACTTCCTTAATGTTTAGAAGCCTGGAAAAATATCCTGGAAAATACTAGGTTTAAAGCAAACCAGAAATTAAAAATGGATGTTGAAGGGAATTAAAAGATCCTGTGAGGACAAGGCTCTTGCAGCATGCAGTGTATTTTAATCATATACCAGCTTCCCCTATTTGTGTCACCACCACACACTTCTTGCTTTCTTTATTTTGACTCGGCCACAGGGTAACTCTTGGTCATACTCTGTCAAGACAGTTTTTTAATGTAGAACAGAGATCAGGATGAGCACAAGCCATTCTTGTTTTAGGAATGCTGCTGCAGCTAATCTGGTTTTTGAGCCACATTTTTAGACATATGCTCAGTAGACTGGCTTTACAACACAGTCTGCCTGCTCCTCACCTAGCCAGAAGAACTTGAGTAAGACACAGGCAGATATGACAGATCAGGTCAGCTGATCTAAAAAATTTATGCAAACATTTGACTTCTCCTTTGAATGGCAAAGAGTACTGACAACAACTTCACAAATGTAGGGAACTGCTCCTTCACAGAGTGGTAAATCCTAATAATCCCCTTTTTTCTGAATTTATTTTCTGAGACATATAAGGAATGTATTTTATTCTGTTTGACTTTTTTATAATACAGTTGTGCTGCAGTTTGAAAAACTTTGACCTAACTAGACCAAAACTGTCTTATTTAAATTATGCACAATGATGTGGTCTCTTTAATTCTTGAAACTTAGATTTGGAAGGAAAAATGCCCACTAATTTGTCCAAAGGACAAATAGTTCATTAGTCTGTAGTTCAGGGAGAATGAACTCATATTAAGAAGGGAAAACAAATTTTGGCTTTGTCACGATGCATAAACTGGAAAGTATGCATTTCAAATTTTGATAATTATATTAGAAAATTCCTGTTGATCTTGATCTCTCTCTTGGCCTGTAATGTCGTTACAAATTAACATGGTGTGTTGTGTATGCATGCAATGTCCAGTCCAAAACATGATAAACAATCTCTGCGTCGTCTTTAAAGGGAAATAAACCAGGCTCTTATTTTGTCTAATGGAAAGTAAATTCCTTATTTATAATACACCTATAACTATCTAATTGGAAATAATTTTTTCAGCTACAGCGTGTGTTATTATTCTGGTTTTCTTAACTAAAAAAAGTACTTCTGGCATCGCTTTTATTTCCTGCACAACATATTCTTTTCTTACAGAATGTGCACACTCACAAAGGTATTTGCTGTCTGAATGGCAAATACCTGTTACCCAGATGGAAAATAGATGTTATAATCAAAAAGCACATTCTGCTTTTAGCTTTACCAATTTATGGTTCAATAAATGCAAGATTTCGTTTCTGAACCTGTATCAGAATCTAATTTACAAAATTATGCCATATATAATTAATACCCTTGTGGCCTTCAGAATTGCAGGCAAGTAAAAAAAAATTGAAATGAAAAACAGCAAGATATCTATGAAGTCTGTTTTCGAAGTTTAATTTAGAATGGCAGAAAAGACATTGTAAATTTTTGCTGGGACTAGAACCATATAATTTCATTGATCCATTCTTATGTAGCTTCAAATACTTAATCAAAAATCCAACTGTTTTCATTTGATTCAAATCTGACCTCCTCTAGTACAATTTAAGTGTTAAACAAATGAAGATAAAACACTTACTTAGGACTGAATGTTCTGCCATTGTACAACAGTACAACAAGTACTTTTTTACCCAGTAAGTAGTCCTGTTAGCTAATGACATCAGAACAACCATTTGAAATGAGACAGAGTTGATTTATCCCAAAACCCTCTCACCATCAGTGGCCAAAACAAAAAATGCTTGTTTGCACTTCCAGTGCAAGATACTACATGAAGTGTGTGAGATTCCTGGAGGTGCATAACACAACCTTTAATTTGTCACCCTTTAGGCTAAATTACATATACTATTACACATTTTGCAGAGTCTGACCTGGGCTATCATCTTGCTATTTTTACTAAGTAGAATAAAAATCAAGGCATTCATGCTATAGATAATTGTGATACTATAAAAATTAATCTAAGGGTCCTTGGGATTTCATTTTTCAACTCTCTGCTTAGTCTATATGTCATTTGAGTTGCATTTTTTAATGAGATCATGACACATAAGAAGGATAACATTAATATTGAATTGACTGAAATAACAGTTGGCAAAACATAAAGGTTGATTTTTATGGCCCAAATACCATTTCAAAATTTCACCTCAATGTTTCATTTTGGCTTTTTAATAGAAAAACTATAGATATTTTTTTAGAATAACCAACACTCTAGAGACTTAACTTTAGAATATCTTCATTATTTCATCAAAATATCTGGTAGAAATATCTCTGAGTGCTATGCCAGAAATAAGGAAGCTGGAGTTTTAGGCAAAGCACAGATAGCAATAATCTCAGTCTTCAACTGGTCTTGATGCCCACATTATACAAATTTGTCTAATTAATGCTTCCACAAAAAAGATGGAAAAGGACAACGGAGATACTTTCACAAACTTCAAGGACCAGACTTTAGCTGAGTTCCTATTGTTTTAAACATTTTCTGTGACTGATATTTACCAGCATAAAAGGGGAAATAACTGTATTGGCTTCACTGGAAAGTTAAGAAGTAATGGTTTTGTTTTGATTTTACTCAGATATTAGAAAAGGATGTTATTACAAAAGTTTGCTTGCAAAATTTTCTAAGCAGCATCGGTAGAGAGTATTTAAATTAACACTGTTCATATGTGGCCTAGCTCTAATTATTATGGGTGATTACTGGAAGAGTTACATGGCACAATATTCTGTATTAGTTATGTAAGTCATTACACTAGCTACTGGTATAATGTTCAGATTTGGGTTAATATTTACTTTGAAATTCCTTTCTGAAAATTTAAATTCATATTTCCTGAACATATCTCACTATGTCTTTTGACACAATAAAAAAATTAATTTCCTCTACAAATTTCTGACATATTTCATGGAAACTCAATTGCAATAGAATTTGCCTCAGCTTATGATGCTTGGGGAACTACATTTTGGTTGGTTTTGCAGCGTCAAATGAGCCTAAATTTACAAAACATTTTACTTACACATATAAACATAATGAATGTGGCTTTCTCCATACTTTTTTTCTTTTGAACTCCTGTTTCTGATTCCTCAGTTTACACTTACTTTGTATCTTTACTCTTTATTACCCAGAAAAATGTTGCATGTTTTTTTTCACTTTGCTCTGTATACCATCTCCAGTTGCTGTCTCCTTAAATGCCCAACAACTTGGATTAGAGACTGGGTATAAAATGGGAGTTGATTTTATACTGCAGGGAAAACAAGTGAAACAGAAACCCACATGCGCAGCAGATTTTGTCCCAAGTGGGAGCTGGGGAGCTCAGGAGCTCAGTGAATCACAGCCTGGGAGCTCACAGCAGCAATTTTATTGCTTGTGCTGCTGGGGCTGCAAAGGCAGCTCATCCCCTGCCCTGCTGCATCTCTCTGTGGGATTACTCTCTCTCACACACAGAAGACATGCAGGTGGTAGAGCCTTTTTTCTCTCAAAAACAACAGCTGCGTAGCAAAAGTCAAGAAGAAAAATCCAGCTGGAGGGCTGGGTCTTGACATTTTGCTTCCTTCTGCAGAACCAATAATGGCATTGGGTACAGCTGCCAAACTCTCATTTCTTTACCTGAGAAATATTGTCCTAACATCCATGGAAAGTACTCATTTGGTTTTCAGTTTTATCTCCTCTGGGATTTTTTTTTTCTGGAAAAATGCAGAAAATGAAATGGCACAAAGTTTAGAAGTCACAGCACTGAAGTCCTTTTGATTAGAAGCAGCCTCATGAAGTTAATGAAAATTTTCAAATGTCTTTCTGCTCCTTGGAGTATCACTGAAGCCATCTGAAATTCATTGCCCTCATAGAGCAGGTGCAATTGTCAGGGACTGTCATCTTTACACTGCCCTAGGTGTTGTTTCCTCACTCAAACTAAAGCTTCATTTTCTGTCTTTGTCTGGTAGAGACCTTATGGTCTGAATTTGCCCTGTCTCTTAGTGGGCATTAAGGAAGGTAAGCACCTTGCTTAGCCAGGTAGTTTCCCTAGGTTTGATGTATGGTCAGCATTTAGAGAGGGTGACTCAGCCCTCAGAAGAGGTGCACAGCCTTCCAGAGGTGTTTGTACCAAATTTTGGCTAAATGAGGAATTCAGGATGCCTGTGTTTCTTAGCTATGTGTCCCATTTATGCATCTGGGGTGGACCGTGTAGGAGACACAAAGTAACTGCTGCACATTTCAATAGATTTCATTGAAATTTTATATGTCTAAAATGTCACTAAGAAATGAAGTAAATTCTGCATCACAGCTACAAAATTATTAAAATATGCCTTTTTTGTTTACTTCTAGCTACCTCAGAGAACACGCATGAACACAGTAAGTACCAAGGCAATATAGAATATTGTTATTATAATTTTCAGAAGGAAGGTATTTTCTTATTTTTACAAAGTTTTTGCAGCCTAAGCTGGAATTCATCAACACAAACTCACACAACATTTTGACATATGACACTGGTTTTCAATGACTAGCTCTGTTAATGCAGGACCAGGTGTGTTTCACAGGTTCCAGTTTGCATGGAAACCCTTTTCCAATTCAGCTGAGACCCACCTATGCCTTTTGTTTCCATGGCAGCTTCGCACTGGGAAACAATCAAGGGAGCCACAGATGGGGAAGGATCTCTGCAATTCTCTTGCCAGGTCTCTGGCCCAAGTTTTAGATTTATTTCTTGGTGTGCTGCAATGCTCACCTGCTGCACAGCTTAGACTTCAGAGCTACAAATCAGAATTAAACATACTTTTAACATGCCTCTGAAATATCTTCTGTATCATGATGTTGGGATCTGGATAGCACACTGTTTTTAAATAGCACAAAATTGCATACACGTTTATTATAATACAGAATAATATCCTTGATTATTAGTGCCTCACAGTATATTTATGGGATCCCCATACTAGCTAACATGAAGAAAATTCGCTCTAGTCCAGCTGAATCCAGGAGAAACATGAGAAGCTTTTTTGTCTTTTCCTTTATGAAGAATATTGAACATTTACTTGTCATTCTTTACAAGAAAATCCCACTTTTGTTTTAATAAAATCTGCCATTGTTTCTATATTAAACATAAAGGAGTAATTTTCTATACAGAAGATCAGTGATAGAAATCACAATTAGTACTAGAAGCAATTCATAATTTTATAAATTCTATTATATTTCTAAAAATTCACAGAAAATAATTAAACCACATTTAAAAAGTTTAAAAATACTTTTAATTATTTTAATTTTATAGGGAAAAAATGGCTCAACATCTTTTCTGGAGAAATATAGTTATCAATTCTTCTCAAATCCAGTAGGAATATGTAGTGCTAAGTCATCTTTTAAAACTATAATGGGAATCTTTTATTTTTAAAATCTTCTAAAAACTAAAAAGCCTTCTAATATAGGGGTTCTTATTTTCAGAGCATGAACGTGTTAAACGTGAAAAAGCTGTCTCTCAGAGCAAGCCAGGTAGGTTTGGTGAAGGAACCTCCCCTTACCCCCAGCTCCACTTAATCAGGATATGTGTGATCTGCAGAACCTGGACACTTCCTTGAGCTGGGCACAGTGGGAGTGCCACTGGGTTTTTTCAGTGTCTTGGAGAGGAACAGATATGAGAGTGACATTTAACTAAAAGGATTCATCTGTCACAGTTTCTGACTGTTCTTGTGACTTTTCTCACTGGTGTAGTAAAAAGCACTAGCAAAACCCATTTCCCAGAGTGTGAGGAAGGAGTGTTTTAATGCCCTGCACTACATCAAAGAGGTCCACTGGGAATTAACCTTTCTCAACCCTTTCAGTAAATTAGTTATCACATTAAGTGAGTGTGGGCCCCCCAAAAAGGAGAAGCTACAATCTCATTGTGTACACACTCTGCAGTAGAGTCAGCCTCCAGCTCCTGAATCTCAGAAGTAACAGGAGCTGGACTAAGAATAGCAATACTAATCCTGGGCTGACTGTGCATTTGGGTAAACTGTAAGTAATACCTGGCTGCTGTGAGCAGGACAAAGGGTCCCCCTTTCAAACCAGGACTCTGTTCCAATCATGTTTTTTGAGGAGAAAGGCCCTAAAGGATCCACAGCTGGGTCTGGTGTGAATTAACAAGACTAAGAGGGTAACCTCACAGAAAACTCAGCTACTGATGCTCAGCTTACATCACTCCTGAGGCACTATTACCACCAGTACCCACTCCAGAAGCAGTGGGGACTAGAAAGCAAGTATCCACATCCCATTGACCTTTGCTGGAAGTGCTCATGAATAAGTGATCAAATAAAACACTTAAACCTTATGTGTTCAGTGATAAGCAAGGAGGCTTTATTTCATTAATTTTCCCCTATTTTTAAAGAAATAAACTTCTCCTATGTATTTAGTACTTTTCCCATTCATTTTTCTAATGTACAATATTCTACCTTGTAAATTAAGTATTTTCATAGACATTTTCAGGTTTCTGGAAGCCTTGAGGATCTGATTTAATGAAGGTGTATTGGTTTTGAGTCAATAGGGAAAAAATTTCTCTTCTTCTTTCAAAGACACATAGGCCAAGCTTTTTATTTAACTCATTGATCACTTTTTGTTTATTAAAAGCTAGTAGAATGTTTCAAGCATTAGGTGAATTCAGCCAAAGCAGGAACAAGGAGTCCAAGCTTGGTGGCCACAGTGGTGGCCAGAAAGTGAGCTGTCTGGAGGAATGGCATGACCACTCACCTTTCCTGCTAAATGAAATCAGTCCTGCTGCACAATTAGCCCAATTTCATCCACATAGCTGCAGAAAAATAAATTTCCTTGGTAAGGCATTCTCGAATATCAGAGCACTGTGTCACAAACCAGTGTATTGGACTGATTAGGATTTTGCTCTTGCATACTACAGCACGCTCCAGACCCCAAGCCCTTGGTATTTAGGTGCTTGAAGGGAAAATAAATAGGAAAATGCTTGCTAAATTTCCTTTAGCATAAAATCTCTATTCTCAGATGATAAATGGTTGCTTTGGAGAATAGTGGCTGTTTTGAGTTTCACTTGATGACTGGAAGTATTAATCTGCAGGCACTGGTGGTAATAGTGCTTCTGCCTGCTGTGTGCCAAGGAGTGCTCTTGAGTTAACAGCTTGAATTATAAAAGCTTCATTCTGAACAAAACAGCAGCCTTCTTTTTCACCTTGACTCAGTGCAGCTTCAAACCATTTTTCTTATGCCTCCTGCCATCAGACAGAAGTATTGCATGACTGAAATACTATAGAATTTCAGAAAATATATTGATCCCATAGGGAAAAGTTTAAATTAGAGTGTTTTGTGTATATCAGTGGAGGCAAGTAAAGCAAGGGAATCCATTCCTGATGTAATTCTGCTGAAACTGCCTGCAATATGCAGAGAAATGTTTACAGCCTTATTTTTTCCATTTAAATTAGGTACATCAGGGAAAAAATTAATATTAATGCTTTTAGTGCTGCAAAACTGGAGCCCTGCAGAGCAAATAAATTCTCTTCAATGAAAGATTTCAGAACTTTAAACTTTGGGCTTACTCAAAATCAGTATTTTTTTAATATTCACAACGTTTATATTTTTACTCTCTGTAGCTTTATGAAGTCCTCAAAATTGTTTAATTTTTTATTTGGGAGACTCCCCATGATATGGTAAAAAAAAGAATACAGGAAATACAGGAAAATTTAGAACTATTACTTCTGTTCTTGGCAAAATGATATCTATTGTCCTCATCATATGTTTTTCTCTGCTTTTCCTCATACTGAATGTGGTGAACAGATCGATTTTATGAAGCTTCCTGATGTCTTGAAGTGTATTCCCTTCTAAGATAGCTCTGCTTAAGTCTGGATATTCTACTCCTTCACTTTCCCTTCTGGCTACAACCAGTGGCTGGAAACTCAGAGAAAAAGCAAGCAGCCACAAGAGTTACCGTGTTTATTCCCATATGAATGCAAATCCACAGGCCTGTCCATGTTTCAAGATAAATTCATTCTGAGAAGAAACACTGCCCCTACTTTCAAATCAATCAGATGTGCCATCCACTCACAAACTTATTTCCTTACTTATTTCCTCACAGATTTGTTATCCCAGAGTTACAAAGCAAATATTGCCATTCATTCTCAACAGAATTAAGAAAGGAAAAATATATTATTTCATGCTCAAAAGTGTCAGGATAAAATCCAAAGAAAGAGAACCCCTTTTATTTTTACTTGTCATTAATCCAGGGCATGTTACAGGGCCATTATTTAAAGGCAGCATACCAGGTTTTCTTCTGTATTGTCACATAGAAAGTTTAATGTCCCAATCTAAATTAGTGAAATAGATTGTTATATATTAAAGCTCCTATAACAGCAGAAAAAAGGACACTTTTTCTCAGTAAGTTGCATCTTCAAGCTGCTGGTTTTGCTTTAAAACATTTCTAGCTCTGCAGACAATCATAATATGGAGATGAGATTTTTAATTCACAGCTTTCATAAGAAACTGACAGTAACAATAGCTGAGTAAGGGCAATAATAGTGCCCTAAATTTAATACAAATCAAGAGAAATTAAATTGACACATACCATAAAACAAATGAAAAGCATAGCAATGCAGAGCTATGTTTATTTACCAAATAATAGAAAATATTAGTAACCAGAGAGCTTTATCCCTCCCTATATTTGACGCCATCAGTAATGATTTTCTTCCAGAAACAGACCAAACAAGCAAGAGAAGGGGACCAAGAGATGTCTGGCCAACCTGATCTCCACACAGTCATTGTCATCCTTAATCTGATGCCTTCCAGAGGTCTTAGTGGAAAGGAAGGCAGTGGAAAGAGGCAGTGGCTGCAAATTGCTTTCAGCAAGAGGAATGGCAAATATAGTCTGACTGTGTCTTAAGCATATTTAAGAAGAGTTTAGGAATGTATATGATTGTTGAAAGGTAGAGTTTAGGAGGTGAGCTTGAATTCAATTATGGAAAAAGACACAAAATGGTGTTGAGCTATAAAAGGATGAGGTAGGGTGAATTTGAAATCAACCAAACGGGGCAGAGCAGAAATCTGAACATAAATATCCCAGTTTCCACCTGACTTCCATTGGGAAGGTAAAACAAACCCCACTTGATCAGAAATTGTAATCCCACCAAGTTACGTGGAGAAGAGGAAGTTTAGGTCTGGCGGCTGATGTTGACATGGGTCTACATCATCTGAGAATTGTGCTGAGCAAATCCACAGGCAGCTCAAGAGCACGTGGGCTTGGGCAGCTTTTCCCATGAGATTAGAGAAGTTCAAGGCTGCTCCTGTGACAGATGTCCAGCTAGGTCTAGGTAGGTTTGTCCAGTAGCAGGTGGTATAAACTGGCATTTCAGACTGTCCCATGTGTCCCTCTGTGACCTGTTATGTGCTTGGGCATCTCCATACCTTTTTCATCCTCAGAGTGTAGACACATGAGTACCTCCACCCATGTTTGTAGTTAGTCTTTAAAGTTCTAGAAGATATTTAGAAGTTCTTAGTGTTGTTTAATACCAAGCTGTTGGACTCAGACACTCAGGAAGGTGCTCTTGGCAAAGGTGTAAGGGATGCAGGAATAGGATGGCTTCCACCTGAGTGCCTGCCTGAAAGATGCTGAAGGGTATGCAGCTGCTTTCTGGCAGCTGAGACATTAGGCCCAGTAATTTACTTTTTCCATGAACATGATCTCACCATGCAGTCAGAACTCATAATGCCTGCATGCTGTTTTACAGTGCTATAATGGGATAGTGATGGTGAAGACATGCATTTATTTTATCATTGTGAACAATATGCATAATATCACCTATAGAAATATATTTCCAATTATATGAACCTATGCTAACACATTGTAATTTTAATGCTGCTTTCATGATACAGAGGAGAAAATGAAACAAGAAAAGACAGCTCCCACTGAGAAGTCAGGTAAGAGTAAGTGATTCTCCCCTAACTGATGGAGGAGGAGGGGGGTACTAACAACTATTCAGCACTCACCTAGTGTAGTATATTTGCATTGCAATATTTTTCACAGTGTTTTGAAATATGTAACTGATCACAAAGAAAAGCCAGCAGTGTGCAAATTGCAGCTTCTGTTCTATCAAGAATTGTCTTTCCAATGATGAAGACAGGTCAAGGTCTTTGAGCTCCTTAGCTGCTTGTTCCAGCCTGTCATTAGCCAGAGATGGGCTAATGAAGTGAGGTCTAGCTGTAAATCAGACCTCTGAAAGGATCCCAAATATGGGGATAAATCACCAGATGGATTAGGACTTTGGATCAGTGCTATGGAGAAAATGTTTTTGGGACTAAACTGTAAATCTTTGGGTCTTATCTGTGATTAAGAGAGTATAGTTTTTTAATGTAATGTTGACAGGAAAAAAAGTCAAGTAACAATGAGTGTTCTAGAAGCTGTGAAGTGTCAGACAAGGAATTACAACATTCTCATCATCACTGGCAGTCAACACAAAGCTGTCTGAACTTTAGGGGTTTGAATGCTGTGCATCCCTGCACAAGTAGGGGAAGCTAAGAACAAGTGAGAACCGACTCCAATAAAATGCTTGAATGTTAAAAAGAAAGGGGAAAAAAAAGAGTTTATTTTTTCTTCTTTCAGTATCTAACTATAACAACTTTATCTCTCTTGTCTTTTGTAGCCCAGGCAAAGCCAGCAAGTATATTATTCTTGCCTTAATTAGAAAAATTCCTGTAAAATTGTTGGATACATGTCTCTTTTTCTACTTTTATATAAGAAAGCATGCCCTTGGCAATTTCTAGTTTTGCTTAAAATTATAGTGTCTTTATCACCATGTCTCCTGTTCCTTTAATTTAATATACTGTCCTGTCATTAACTATTTAAAAGCCTATTTGACATAACCAATTGCTTCAGTGCAGGAGTGAATTCATTCCACGCTTCCCCTATCAAAAGTCCAATCAACAAAAATTCATATAGTAGTTAAAGTCTTTTAAAAATCACTATTAAAAATTACCTGGCTTGAATGAATGCTCCTGCTAAGTTAAAGAAAAAATAGAAATTAATAATAACTGCATCCTGAATTCTTCTCAGCCTAAAAGGATTCAAGAGAGTCAGTACCTTAACTTACCACACAGCCTGCTTATTGATTTTCTACACCTTTCACACCTTCAAAATGCAGATGCAACTACAATAATAATAATTTAAACTGTCAATTAATTGCCCGAATAATTAAATGATCAAAAAAAGTCCAGATCTGGGAAATGAATCACTCTTCACTGAACCAATTTTTCATTCATGCTTCATAAAAGCGTTTCCCATTTGAAATTCCTTATGATGTCTTCATCTCAGCATTTCTCAACTTGTCTGCCCACCTGAAATCACAGCTACCAGGAGTTCAATTATTCATCTGAGTAGCAGAAAGGCTGAGGCATATTGCCCTTTTTTCAGAGGGCATTCACATTTTCAGCACTTTCCAATTTAAAGCATGCTTTTGGGTCCTCATTTCTCAAAAGGAAAAATGATGCACAGTCCTTGAGCTGTGGGAACATCACCATGAAACAAGGCCCAGAGAGTTGTCCATTGATTCCACAGCCATAAAATGCAGTTCCCATTGTATAGCTGCTACTGTGCTATGAGATCTGTGTGGTGGGGTTTTTCCTAAGTCTGACTTTTGTTTGTTAGATCTATTTGAAAAAAAAAAATCTGCTTCAACTTTTCTATTTCCAGCAACATAACATAAATTATAATTTTTTCAGTAGTAATTATAGTAATTATGAAGTAGAAGGATGGGAGGAGGGGTAGGGAAACAGGCATGTGGAGATGAGATGCATTTTCCACATCTAAATATAATTTCTTCATATGTAATCTTATGTGTCCGAGACTTTGGGAATTCTGCTCAAGTATATCTGAATCAAGAACAAAGGATGAGGGAAGGATTGCTGAGTTGACTCTGCTTTCTCCAATAATAAAAATTAAAAATGGACAAAATTACATTTAAGAAATTACAGAAGACCCTACTAATGTATTTCTTCCTTAAGACACATGGATGACTCTTAGTAGATTAATAGTAGCTATATTTGTGAAGCTTTGTGCAGTACTAATGAACTTTGCTATTTTGTGGCAGATCCCTCAGTGGATAATCATTTAATAACCATTCATTTGTGGGTTTCTTTTTCAAAATAACAGCATGAAACAAGAGAAGGGGAATGTTTAATCCTGAAAAACATACATGTAATTCTTCTAACCAAAAAAAAAAAGTGCGAAATGTAACTGAGAAACATTATGGCAATTTTGTAATGCTGTTGTTTTTTGTTTAGAGCATGTAGCAATCAGACATGAAAAAGATGTTCCCCTTACAAAACCAGGTAGGCACTCCTGCATTTTATTTTGCATATTTGTTTTGAAAATGTTATTTAAAGAAATAGTGAAAATACAATTGTATATGACAAATGTCAAAACCATTGTCCTGTAATCTATTTTGATACATAGAATGGCCCTGACATGCCGTACCACAAACTAAATAGCACAGTACATTTGTGTAATGCTGGTTGTCATTTTAAAGTATAGATATTTGTACACATCAAAGGTCAAATTTCTGCCTCTGTAATTCCACTGATGTCAAAGGCATACGTCAGCAAAGAATTCGAACTGCTGTCTGAAACTGCTCACTTTAAATGGTTCCATTGTTCTAATTATTTGGGGGGATCTGCCTTTCATTTGGACTTCAGAAAACAGTTAACCTCCCAGGTAAAGCAATACTTAAATTTTCATTCATTGCAGGTATTATACGATATAGTATTTAGATCTTGATCTGGCACAATCCATAATCTGTAGCAAATGTCTCTGATATCACAGCTCATGCACAATTGCACTTGCACATGACAGAGCAAAATTGATGCTGGTACAGGAAGGAGCATTGCTCAGTTTCACTGTGGACTGTCATCATGGGTTTAAAAAATGTCTGCTCCATGCTTCTTCATGAAAGGAAATAAGTGAAGAATTATAATTTTCATTGTTAATATTATTCATCCTTCACTCTAACAAAACAATTTCAGTCCATAAATGAGAACACCCCTACTAGTATCATTCATTATTAGATTGTTGTTAATTGCTGTGAGATTAGTAAAAATGTGTTTTGATACATGGAAACATCTAGAATAAAGATGTTGTCTGCCATAACAATATTCTGCCAAACCTGACTGTTTTGACCATTTTTCTTTCCTCTTTCTACTTCCCAGTCAAACCGAAAAACACCGCAAGTACGTGTAATTACTTATTTCTTATGGAATATAAACCTTCTTTTCAGATGCATGTTCTCTATATTTGCATTTTTGCAATTTTCTCATGTTAGATAATGCTATTTTCTTGCTTATACTACAGATACTCTTGTATTCTGTCTGCTTGCTGACAGCCGAACACAACAAAATCAAGCACATTTATAATGCAATATTGTGAAGATGCAAGATTCAAACTGTGTTTGCAATTTTTGCTCCCTAGAAAATAATGTAAATTACACTGGTAGCAAAACTGATATTCTGGTGGGTTTAGATGAGTGTAGATGTATAATTTATATCTATGCAAATGTACTGTTTATTGAAAACAAGAAAATAGCATGTAGCATAACTGAATTAGACAACCTTTTCCTTAATTCTTTTACCATTTGGAAATTTTTACATCATTAATTCACTAAGCACGTTGTTGGCCTTGTTCCAATGAAAGCTTTTTTTAATAAAAAAAACTAAATTAAATTAAAGAAGGGAAAGAAATATTTCCAATTTAGATTAGTTTTAAGGAGGATTCAAGAGGAATTTGTCACATTGCAAAAACTTCCACTGAAGTCATGGGATAATGTCCTTTTTAAGGTTGTTTTTAAGGAAGGCTTCTACACAGATGAAGACTGGGATCTATGCTTATTGTGGCACATTACATACTGCAAAGCATGGTCAGACAAGAACCAGAAGGACAGTGTTTGTACTGCGTGCTTTGAATTGTGAAAATGCTGGAGTGTGGACCTTCACAGAGGAATTAGTTGTTGCCTCTTTAGCACAGGAGTGTGGGGGCTTTTTGGTGCTCTGCCTGGCATTTCAAGACCAAACCACATGTTATTCTGGTGGAAAGTAAGCTGACCACAAGGCAAAGAAAAGTGATTCACTTTAACTTCCTAGAGCAGTCACCTGTGCTAGGTGCCTAAAGTTAGAGAGGATGAATCCTGCTCTGAAACACCTGTAGGAAAACAGGATTACTCTGAACCCCAGATGTAAAGTGGAAGTATGAGCCCAAGGTACCTAAAATGTGCTTACACTGAAGGATCTCCTTCAGCCCTGAACTGCAATGTTCCATTTTTTAGTTATTATTGCAAAATTATTACTTTCTGTGAAGCTATCCATGGGCTTATTTCGATTTTTGCCAGTATTTTAAGAAAATTTTACTCTATTTAATTCTATTATCCACTTTTGCTCACTCTTGTTTTCTCTGGATCTGTTTACTGACACAGTGATTTATCTGAGGGACCCAGTGATGGCACTCACTACTGTTAGAAGCTCATCACAAATTTAAGTGACTAATTCCTTATGCTTTCATCACAAACATCACTACCTATAAAATGCTTTTTTATCGAGAGCTATATTACCCTGGTATACTGTGGATATAAGGAATAGCCAGGATATTTTCCCTTGCCCTTTGCAGAGGGTTGTTTCTACCACATTCTTTAGCTTATATTCTGCTGCTTGAAATTATTATAAAGGTTAACAGTACCTTTAGAAAAATGAAAAAAAAAAAAAAGAACAAAGAAAAAGAAGGAAAAAACCAGCAACAAGCAGACTTATCGTCATTTACAAAAATAATTCTCTATACACTGCCCCTTTTTGAGTGAACCATCCTTGAATAGATCAAACTTAAGATTTTAAACACCAGAGCTGTCTATTCCAAATTGTTTTTCTCCACTTAAAGGAGAGCACTTAGTTGGATCACTACCTTCTTTATTTATAGAGTTCTATATAGCTTTGCTTCATGTATTTCTTAGCCAGGTGTGTAGTGTACTTACCATAACATGAACGTAGCTGACATCTAATTCAGTATGAGATGCAGCAATAGACACAAAATACCCACTGATTTTGGAGTTAAGGTCCAGTGGAATATATAATAAATTAATATATTTATCCTGGACTGAATTAATTCACAAATTTAATCTTGCTCAGTCTTATTGTAAAAGCAAATGTGGTTTTAGTTGCTAAAGAAATTGGGTCATTAGGGACTGCAGGTATAAACAGAAAGACAAGGCTGTTTGAGAACTACCCAAATTAATCACACAGACAATTTCAGAGTGGGAGCTTGTTGCCATGGTCTCACCTGTAGGCAGGTATACATCACACAGTCAATCACCCAATTTTAAAAGCAATTAGTAAATCATCTTATTTTTCACTCTTTCTGTTTTAGTGTGCAGGAAGGTCTTTGACAACCATTGACTGTACATCAAACTTGAATGTGTAATGAAACAGAATTAACTCCCTGCATACTGACTAAAGACTCACAAATTGTGAGACATTACCTTGAACAGAAAACAAAGCTGGTGGCAGATCTTACACATGCAGGAATGCCAAACTGTAGTTTTCAGTCAAGAGGGAGAACATGTAGGCTGATATTTTAAAAAGACCTTAAGAATTGGCAAATTATATTCCCACTTAGGTTTAAAATGAAAGCCCCATAATAGGAGTAATATGTGCCCCAATGTTCTCAGACTAAGTCAAAGTATGTTGATGCATTGAGAATAGGAAATAGGAAATAGGAAATGGCCCTTACATTTCATACAACAGAGGGTCAAACCAACTGCCCTTCAGGTCAACAGTCTTGCTGTACCTGACTGTCCAAGGAAATAAATTAATCCTAAATTAGGGTACATGCACATAACTGGGCCCATCCAGATCCCTCAGAGAGACACTCCCTCACTTAAGAAGTGAGAGCATAAAACCCTTTCCTAGATTCAGTACCTCAGAAAAAAATCGTGGTTTTTTTCTTCTGAAAATCAAAAAAACATATTAATTATTCCATGGGTCATAATGTAGTAATGTGTCATCTTTAGGAAGCTATGAGCAAGATCGTAAGCAAAAAGGTAAATATTAAAGGACTTTGGCATGCTAGCATTTAATAGCAGCAAAACTGGCCTTTGTTGAATGCCAGTGGTTTCCAAGCATTGAGCGCTGACATTTACAGGTCTCCTTATGGGCCAAGATTTGAGTGAAAGCTTCCTGTGATGCATTAGGGAAAATGATGTTTAATTGATTAGTCTTCCTGTGGAAAAAGCATTGACTGAAACATTTTCACCTTGGTGTGAGCTCATGTTCATCTGAAGCAAAACTCAGCAGGAAGAAAGTACAGAGAAAGCTCAGTCAAAGGAATACCCTTAAATGCTTTGTGATCTTATTCCTTTTTTGTCCTGCTCTAAGTTCTAAGAAAAGAGGCTTTTCTTTTTCTTTCTAATTGTATTCTTACATAAAAGTGGGACTAATGAAGCAGTGATGGGTAGAAAATTATTGGATTCAAAATGACAATGTAATTAATTTCTTTGATTTAAAATAAGTGATGATGACTTACACCAGAGAATTTCTATCCGTTGGGTTGACCACTTTTCATCAATTATTTTGGATATTATAATAGCATAGGAATATATGCTTCTCTTGTGCTAGGTGGTGTGGAAAGATTTAGTCAAAATCTCTCAAGAGATTTTATTCTTAAAAGGCAAGTCAAACTGCTAGTGTGCGAGAAACACTTAGGGGTCAATGCCAGCTATTCAAGGTCAGTGTCAGTCTTTAAATGTGAAGTGTGGATGATAAGAAAAGAGAGGTAACACTTAAGCTGAATACATTTTTTGGAAAATAGCATAGTCAACTATAACCTTAAAGGCACACTTAAAAATGAGTCTGTTTAAATATTTGCTTGCTGGAAAGCTTTGGTTGGCGCAGTGTTTGCATTTGCAGGAATTGTATGTTGTATGCTGGATTATAGCACTTCAAAGAGTGAGACGGTTAGCTTTCAGTGTGAAATTATACATACACACCCATTGTTAAGGCACATTTGTTTGTAAATTAATACCCTGCAGAAAAGTTGCAGATGAAAGAGATAATCTATTTAAATGGTTGCTTGCCCTGAAAAAACATGGTACTGAAATTTTTGTTCTTTTCCTTCCCTTCCCTGCCCCCTTTCTCCTCATTGCTGGTTATTTTCCTGGAGAGCCAACAGCTGAAATCCCAACATCAGGTAAATATTTCATTTTTCAAGTATGCCTCATGGAAAGAACTAATGAACACACCAGTGTTGATTAACGCACTTTGCTCATCAGCAAGGAACAGTGATAACGTAAAGCAGCATGCGTGAAGTGACAGCCCTGCAGCTACACAGGTCTCTGCCATAGGCTCTTCTTTCCACCTGATTATGTGATTTTCACTGCTCACCTTCTGCAGCACGTTTTGGTGAGCTACACACAGCAGATCCTCACTGAAAGCGCTGGTGAATCAAGTGACACGTACCAGAGGACACTGAAGAAAGCGTTATTACAACTGGTTGGATGACACAAAGTGCAAATGAACCATTTGAAGGCAGCCAGCTATTTTTCTGCTGTAGTCAACAGGGAATACTGAAAAGGGCTCAGGTGCCTGAAGCGACATACTTTGCTTAATTTCAATCTGCCTTGATTGGTTGAATGGAGTCACAGACCAAATGCTTTTGCAGCTGGGGAAAAAGGATGTAGAAAAGGAAACAGAACATGCTCAAAGTGAATGTAGACTAGGAAAAACACCCCCCAATAAAATAAATCACAATCTATTGCTGCAGGACTTCTGTATGATCGCATATGGCAGTTCTAAAGGTCCATCTAGCTCTGTATCCTCAGGATTTTTGTTTGTTTATTTCTTTCAGATGTTTGAGATCACTCTGGGAAAAAGAGTAAGAAGCAAGCAATAGGCAGAGTCCTTCCCTAGTGTATTTTCGCAACAAACAAATAAGTAAATCTGGCAGTAGTTAGGGAATTTCAGAATTCAAGTGCTAAAGTATTTATCAGGATTTTCTAAACTACTCTGCAAGCAGCAATATTCAAACAATTTCTAACCACTCTACACAAAGCCCAGAACTGCTAGTGCCACTAAGAGTAGCAGACACTGTTGCAATATTACAGACACTGTAAACATGCCATGAGACACATTTACCACAGTAATTCTTCCGGGGAAATTACCAGTGAGACAATCTTTGCACGATGTACTTACTGTAAAAGCCCTGTATTTCTGATGCCTGCCACTTAATGTTATTTCCTTTCAAATCTTTCTAGCCACAAAAAAACCAAACACAATTAAGGAAAAAGAAGGTAGGAATTTATTCTATGTGTTCATATATATGTTGAAGATCACAATAAAAATAGTATGAGATAGCAAATTTGCATGTTTGAGGCAACCCCTAAAATATCTGTGTTAATTCTCAAAGAATTTTAGTTGAAAACTCTAGGTAAAATCTATTCAACAGTCAGTTTATAAAACTTTAACTGTGCTACTTTTTCTTTGTAGAAAAAACAACTACGAAGAAACAGCTGAAAGATGAAAAAGCTAAAGGTAATAAAGGGATGAAAATCTCTGCAAACAGCAATAAAAATGCAAACATTCAGGTTTGGGGGATTTTATGGGATTAGAAAGAGGAGCTTTTTTTAGTCTTTCTACATACATACGAGTAAACCAAAATGATGAAATTGTACACAAATCCCCAGTAATTGAATGTCTGGTGTCTCCTTTGCATATGAATATCAAGGATTACATCAGTGCATCCAGTGTGGCTGCAGTGGTGCCCTGCCTGTGACCTCCCTGGCTGGCGCAGCAGGGACCTGTGCAGCCCCCAGCACTCAGGATCCAGGATCAGCAGGGCCCACGCTGTCTGCGCCTGTGCTCCCTGATCAGGGAGTGCAAAGTGCATCTCCAGAGCTTGTCTGGTGCCTTAGGTCACCAGCATCATTCCTTAAAATAACTCCAGTGATGCAAAATAGCTACACAAGAAGCCCTTCTTTATACACAAGACAGATTTCATCATCTCCCATATTCTGGCTAACCTCTTGTTCACAGCACTGCCTTGATTGTTTCCTCACAGTAATATGCAAATAGAGAAATGCTTTCTGCTATACCTCTAAACATAATTAATAACAATACATGACAGTATCTTATCAGGTAAGTGATTGAAGGCATAAATATCCTCTCTACATTGGTTAAATGCAATGACTTGCACATAAAATTTGCACGTTTAAATCTCAAACCTTAAAGGATAGCAATAACACTGGCGCCAATTCACTAAACTACTGTCTAGGAGCAGTTTGCTTATATGGTTATATTGGACAGAAAATGTATCTGTTTAAATGATTTACTAGGAGAGTCAGGCTTTAAAAAAAAGTCTGGTTTATAGAAATTCTTATCTGAGAGATGATTACAAGAAACAAACATCTTTCTTATTGAAATTTATTTCAGTATTTTGACTTGAAACTGTAGATTAATTTATTATCTATGTTTTTTTTAATGTGTCCCACCAGTAAAAGAAGATCCACGACATCAAAACCTGACATCAGGTACATGATTTTTTCTTTATTGTAAAGGATTCAGGAAAGTATTGGTTTGTTGTTTGGTTTTGGGTAGTTTTTTTGGGTTTTTTTAAGGGAGATCATGCAATATTTTCACATTTATAATTCAAGTCTATGGAGCAAGATGTGAGACAAGCCAGGCAAATCAGGCAAATCAAATCCATAAATCTTGTTCCTGTGAAGAATGAATTGCTGAAATGGTATTGCTTTACCACCTTTCTAAATTTTTAAACATATATTCATCTGATTGCCTTATAAAACAAGAGTTCTGTAATTAATATAGCAGTGCAATGTCAAAAATTAATATTTTCTCCTCATAGAAAATCTTTTCCGTAACAAAGTCACATAGGGAGAAATGTTCAATTTTTTTTCTCCCACATTAATAAATATTGTCTCCTATCACATTCTGCCTCTACTCCACTCCAGCAAAAATAGTGAATAAAGATCAGTATCTCAGGAGAAAATCTCCCTCCATTTTGTAATCATGTTTTTACTAGTTTACCGCAAAAGGAAATATATATTCCAGATTCTTGACTAGTATAAATTAAATTACTAGCTGTGACTTCAGTGGACCTGCATTAATTCATGACAGACAGGGATCAAAGTCTTTAATCTCACCTGACATCTAACTGGTTTACACAGAAAATATGAGCTACATATGAATATGGTTCCTCTTAATGGAACTTTTAACCTACTGAGGAAAGTATTTCACTTCTAATTATCCAGATTAATTTGTTGTATATGTTTTTTTTTTACTTCTTTACTGTAAATAGAATGATTTAGAGTCCTACAATCATGATATAAAATGTGTAACATATGTGCAGTTATATGTATGTATTTATTTAAAAACATCTACTTATCCATATGTAGAAAGTTAAAATCATAGAAAAATAAAAAAGATACCTAAGTATAAAGCAAGTGCAGAACAATTTGTTTTCAAGAAATAGAGAGTACAAATTAAATGCTAAATAAAACTGGGATTGGTTACCACATATATTATACAAAAGTATTTGCACACATGGCTCACTTTGTTTTATAAGGGCAACTACATCTACAAAAAAGAACAGCTTCACTTTTTTAATCCTATTTTCTTTAATCAGTTACACAGAGATATGGAGTCCATAGATATAGACTAGATAAGATATAGATATAGACATAGGTAAGATATAGACATAGATAAGATATACACTTTTATTCCTCTTGGTTATTATGTTATCAACTGACAGATACAGAAGGTAGAATCCATGATGTAAAAAGTTTATTGCTATTTAATAACACAGAATTTTTTATAGATCAGGAAATGTTAATCATAATATATAACCAGTACATTAAACCAAAGATTTTGCCAGAAGAGAAAAGAATTCTCCTATGCATCAAAACCTCAAATTTAGTGTAAAACAAAAATGTACTACAAATTTTCTCTCACTGGACTTTGTCTTGCCCACCACCCTCCTACAAAGTTTCCATCATTCAAAAACTGTGTTTCTGTGACTTTCATCTACATTAGTTATGATGATTGTTTAATTCAGTTGTAAGTTTTCACTGGGAAATTTTTCTCAGCTGGATGTTTCTCAGATCATGAACAGCTCTGCAAAATCAGTTCTTCATAACTGGCTTTGCAAACAGATCTTACTATGTAAGTGTTCTTAAAATATTCATTTTTCACCAAAAAAAATACTTAGTTTTCTGACCATGGATAAAATGTTTCCAGAAGAACATCAAAGTTACTCTTTTGGATGTTGGTTTTAGGTATTTGCTCAAATTGAGAATTTAAAAGTTTAGACCAAGTCCTAGGTCATGTATACTTGAATTGGAACTTGATGACTTTCACCTGTTCTGTTTGCAGATTAAGACAATGCTTTTTCCCCAGTTCACTGAGTACTAATTTTATTTTTCTGATAAATGAAAGTAGAAAAGGATTTACACATTCTGAACTAATCTAAAACTTTAAATAGTAAATCTTCAGTCAGCCTTCAAAAGCTGAAGAGATTCCCATGTTCTTAGATTTTCATCAGAACTCTTCAACCTTTCCCTGATATTAAAAAGCAATCAGATAAAGATTAAGCAATTTTAAAAGCTGTATATAGATGCAATTTTAGAATGGGCCACATTTGAACAGAATTTTAAGCACTACTGTACCTATCATAAATAATGGTGCAATGTGCAGTAGACACTAAATTTCACTCTCCTGTAGATCTGCAAGCAATTAATTAGAATGCTTTCCTCTTCTTTTTCCTCCCTAAATGTCAAAGTTGACACCTGTACTGAGGATGAAATTTACCAACAGCAAAAAAAAAAAGACAATTCTTGGAACTTCATTTTTATTTCTATCTTATAACAAATGTATTTGAAAGCACACACAAGCAGGTTTTTTGACTCTTGGAATGAAATTTAAGGAGAGTAAAAATTCAACTCTCTAGTGAGGATTATCTACCATAATCTTTATATGAACAGCTGTACACTTCTACATGTTCAATTTTTTTTCAAGGTTAACATCAGAGAAAGAAAATCTAAATGGATCAAAAGTTCATCATATTTATCCTAATTACCTTCCCACTGCCCTCTTGAATGAAAACTCTTGAACTAATGTATATTGCATTTATAATACAGTGTGTTGAAGGGGTTGACGTTTTTTACTGCCCACAGATGTGCAAATGTGGCAGAAATAAAGAGAGGCTGTGTTGCAAGAGCATGAAAAGTGAGAATTCATTAAAGTGATACTATTCCCACATGTTTGGTTTGGTTTTTATTTTAATTAGACTAGAGTGTGGATTACTCTCAAGGTCAAGTGAAACCAAACCAGTCATGATAACTTCCTTGTAGATGTGTCATAAATAGACTTACATAATTTGTGCATCTACCCTCACACATTATTAGAGGTTTGAAACTTTACTTGATGTGGGAACTGTTATACTTACTGTTTAGTTAAAGAACTTGTACTTCAGTGAAAACTGAAATCAACATTAAGCAGAGTTGGAACACGGTTTACATGAACACACTATGCAAGAAGGAAAGATGGAAGGAAAAGCACCTCACCTAGATTTTTCATGTATTTCTGCAATGATAGAGATTCTTAAATACAATACCTATTCTCAAATATTTTCTAGAATAAAGAGCAACAATTTCATCATACTATCAATATATATTCAATGCTACATATTAATCACCACATGAAAACCTCAGCAACTGCAGGGCGTGAATTCATTATGTCTTAAAACCATGTGGGAATTGGTTTATTACTGAGGTTGTTTCAGTCCTTTGCACTTTCTGTGCAGTAATATATTTTCCAAAGTTAAGATGACTTCCAAGTCTGCAAAAGTAGAAAGTTTTATTTGGTGTGAGGTTTGATATGACAGCCATTTGGGAGACTATGAAGGAGGTTTCCTCAGTGCTGAGAGAATGTAAACTTGTCAGCAGTGCAATGCATGAGATTTTTCCCACACATATAATTATTTTGAAAGAGAGTAAGATGGCTTCATTTTTTTCCTTTGTTCTGGAGCATTTGAAGACCTTGGAGTAAAACGATCTTTTTCATCATTCTGAAGTAGTAAGTTTTGTCAAATTCATTAGGCACAAACATTGGTAATATTCTATAATACAGAAGCATTGAACGACTTTAAAAAACAATGTGCAGTGGTCAAAAGAGAAGGCAAAAACTTTGCAGTGCAGGTTGCTCTCACCTATAGACAGGTGATGAGCTGCAGATACTATATTCTCTGCTCTCCTTGCCACCCAGTCTCTGTGTCTCAGATATATGATGGTTCTGACATACTCTGAGCAGTTTCTTCCAAAAATTCAGCAGCATGAACTTGTACTCTACTGACTAGAATTTAATCACCAGAATTCAGCAAATAAATCATTAATATTGATGATGCTGTTTTCTGGACATAAGAAAGTCTGCTGTTTGCTAGAATATCCTTAGAAGGAACTGACACTCTGAGAAGTTTCAGAATTTCTTGTAAAAACACTGTTCTCATTTATTTACAAGACCTGTATTTCTGTAGATTATTCTCATTAAGATTTTCATCACACTCCAGTACAAGAATTCAGCATTAGATCAGGATGAACTGTGCACTAGGGCTGCTTGCAGGAGAGTCCATGTAGAACATCCTCCATTCTGTGGATATACACAAATGTCCCAACATTTCACGTTGGTCAGAATTGTGAGGACCAGGCCTGTATATGTAGGCCTTCCAGCAACTTGCTATTAGTCATTCCATTATCCTGATGGCTTTTAAGCAAATACTTGGAGACTAAATCTTATCAGACTTGTCTAAATGAAGACATGGAGGAATACTGCCCATTTAGAAGATGCATATGTTTAGAGAGCACAGTTAAACTGTGCTAAATGCTGGAGTGGTCATTTATTAAGAACTAAGGTGACCCTGATTTAATTTCGTTTAACCTACTGTGGAATTTTCACTGAGGCTGCTTTAATTTTGAATGAGCATCTGCACAACATTTTATATGGACTAATTAATCTCATTTTAATTTACCTTGAAATAATCTTGCTTATTTTTTCTATGCAGAAAAGACATCCAAGGGGGAAATTTCAGCCATATTTTGGTAACTAGCTAAAATGAAAACTTTAGGATCTGTCCTGAAACTAAATGTCACTGGAAAATTTCTAATAGATTGCAATAAGTTTTGAAACTCAAAATCTGTAAAGATGTACCAAAAGGAGAACTAAATATTGGGTTTTATGTTAACAATGAATTTATAAAAAGCCTCTCAGCATAGTGAGATTATAAATTAAATTATGAATTCCAGAGATTCTATTTAAATGTCCAAAGGTTTAAGTTTTAGCTTTCAAAACAAAATAATTTCACAGTGAGAATCTACAAGCACTTTGTGTTCATGTTATTTTTCCCACAGGAGCTTCTTCAACATCCATCCCTTGCTCTGAATTAATCTTTTTTACTTTTGGCTATATTTTGTAATTTAATTACCTTATCTAGAACTTATTTATTGTCTAGATTTGTAGAATT